TTTCATTTTTCAACTTATTTTCGAACTGCTGAATTTGCAACTGTAAAGACTGATCACTAAGTTGTTGTTCAACTCTTTTAAACTTAATTTCTTCTTTTAGAAAATTCAACTGGTTGATTTTTCTAATAACCTGGACAGATTTAGAGACTGACTATTTCTGCAAGGCTTTCAGGTTATGCAACTCAGGCTTAGAAAGGAACTCAAACTTAACCTTTTCTCCTAAGTAAGTAGATATGACGCCATCATAATCTACCTGGAAGGGATACAATAAGGAGATGAAGGGTAAACCTAAGATGACTTCGTCAGTAATGTTCTTGACTAAGACAAATGAGGTTTTAAAACAAATCTTATTCTAGCATACATGGGCTTTTGGTATTTCATAATTCAACTGAAGAGATTTTCCTGAAGCAGTGCTTAAGGATTCTCTAGATTTTTGGTAGAACTTGGTGGGGATTAGACCTTCCTGAATACAGTTAAGATCGGCTCCTGAATCAAATAGAGCAACTGTGGGGAACTCAAAATCTTGGACAAATATAGTTACTTTAGAATACCACTTTCTAAAATTAACTTGGCGAATAAGGTTTACGGCTTGTCTACTGTTAGAAGGTTCCTCATCAGAATTGTGAGGACTTTCTGACTGGTTTTTAGACTCAGAGGATTCCTTTTCTAGGAGACGAATTAAATCCTGTTTGATCGTATATTTCTCACTTTGGAACTTATGACTCATCTGTTTTAACTCAACTATCTCTTTCTTTACCATTTTTACTTCTAACTGCAGGTCTTGTAAGGTAACTTCTTTCTTTTTGGCAAACTTTTCTAAGATAGTATTCAAACTAATCGGCTGGGGGGTAGAAGGACTCGGGCTATCCTGACTGATCACTTTTCTCAATTTTTTCAAATACTCGGACTTTAACTCAGGATTCTCAACCTTGCTTATCAAGTCTATTACTAACTCTTCCTGTTCTTCCTGTTTAGTAAGAACAGAAATAGACTTCAACCTGTTACAACACTTATCTTTGCAACCAAATTGAACAGTGGGTGAACTCAACTGTGAATCTGAAAACTGATCAGACTCGGACTCAGAATCGGCTACTAGGGACTCAGTCTCGCAACTCTAAACTTTTATCAACTTTTCTTTTTCCTCATCAGTGATTTTCAACTGTTTAATGGTATCTTTAACTTTACACTCAGAGGCATAATGACCGAACTTTTGACATTTAAAGCATTTAACCTTACTTTTATCATGACTTTTCCTGGAACGACTATTCTTTTGACCTTTTGGATTTTTCGGCCAACTTTTCCTGGGAGAAAACTTCTTTCTTCTATAGAATTCACGAGAATCATCATTAGGACGAGAAAATTGTT